CTTCTTGAGAGAAGAAATAAACTTGCGCGACGCTGTTATCCGGAGGAAGAACTCTGACTACTCGAAGATCTCCGTAACGCTGGAAAACCTGATATAATGAAGATCAACATTGATAAAGCGACTCACGCCGTGCACCAGTGTTGGAATATATGTTCGCTTTCCTCAGCTAAGCTCAGGAGTTTCTGTACAAATTGCGGAGCGAGCGAAGCGAGCGGAGCATATACCGCAACAACAGGCACTTTCGTGTTGTGCGTGCGTGCGTGATGAATTATTTTGACTGAGCTACCGACCGTCCGAGGGCGTCAGATAAATCAAACGAGTCGTCTATGCCCGGAGGTCTGCAGAGAAATCGAAAAACTCGACTACTCCCACAGCTTCAAGAAATATGTGCAAAAACATTTTTGACGGAAAAATGTCCAACCCGGGGATCGAACCGGGGACTAACTTCAGGATCGAGTTTGTTGCACGATTCGAGATCTACGACGAGCGCAATTGAAAATCACTTTTGATCATCGCATCTCCACAACGATCATCGTTCCCCAACATCTCAATCAGGAGATTCGGACTAATCGAGCTCCGCCCCTTCCTCACGAAGGCCTAGTTATAGATACGAATTTGGATAGAACTGTACAAAGACCAGCGAGATTTCCCTCATAATTTTCATATTGTCACCAACACACGTCTACATTTCACCATACCTTGCCGATATCATCCTCGGTCAGCTGGAAGTCATGACTGACCCCCTCCACTGTGACCGTGACACCACAGCCCTCGTATGTGGGGTACTCCATGGGCGGCGACCGTTCGAATGATAGCCAGCCGCTGTTCGGGAGTTGAGGAGTACCACCGACTGAAAATAAGAAACAGTCATTAGTCCGCATTGTGAGAAAATATGCACATGGTCAACTAAGCGTTTATGGAAGTTCTGAGAAAATTCTTGTGAAATTCTTCTCTATACACTTCTACCCTAGTTTGTACGAATAGACTTCAGCAGAATTCCCCATAAATTTCCTCGGGATTCTCATATTGTCACAGACACACGTCGTCGAGCATATGCAAATTTTACCACACTGCAAGTTCGAAGTGCACAATCACTCTGTGTTGCAGAAATATGTGTTTGGTTTCCACAACTGAGCTCAGCAGTTCCATCGTTAACCATCGGAGTTCGAATACGAAAACCGGATAGTGCAGAATTCCCAAAGGAATTTCATATCGCCACCAACACATGTAGTTGACCATGTGCATATTTTACCACACCACCTTCTACTATGTGTCAATAATTACATCGAT